TAAACTTTCACTGTTGAAATCATTGTGTGGTCTCTCTCTTGGTGGGACCCAGATGGATACACGTAGGATGGGAGCTCAGACTCTGGTTACTTGGCTGTCAAAGGATGTTGTCTGTCTACAAGAACCAGGAGAGCTGGAGCCATCTGAGTTCTATGTATTTTTCAAGTTTGTGCAACAAACATGTTACTTTTATAATCAGAAAAATATTTTAAAAGTGTGAAAAATGCAATAAAAGAAGCAAGAAAAATAAATAAACGCACACCAGCACCCCCCATCCCTTGTCTCAGTGTGGTAAATGAAGGTCAGAAGTAAGAAGTACTTACAAAGTGTTGGCCAGGCACCGTGGCTCATGCCCATAATCCCAACACTTTGGGAGGCTGAGGTGGGAGGTTCATTTGAGGGGTTAGAGACCAGCCTGGCCAACATGGTGAAACCCCGTCTCTACTAATAATACAAATATTATCTGGGCGTGGTGGCTCATGCCTGTGGTCCCAGCTACTGGGAAGGCTGAAGCAGGAGAATCACTTGAACCCGGGAGGTGGAGGTTGAGTGAGCTGAGATCGTGCCACTGCACTCTAGCCTAGGCGACAGAGCCAGACTCCATCTCAAAAAACAAAGCAAAACAACACCCCCTCCCCGCCCCCCACAAAAAAACCCAGTAAATAAGTGTCAAGGAAGAAAAGCTCCTTAGAGGTGACGCTTGACTTGAGCACGAAAGGGTGGGTGGTGTGGGAGGATATTTTCCCAGGCAGAGCCAAGTGCGCAAAGATGCAGACACGACCAGGGGAGGGCTACGTGGTGGGAGGGGCCAGTCGCTACCGGCCAGTGTGTATAGAGCCCGTGGTGGTTGAGGGTGGAGAGCAGGTCTGACCGATCCCCGCAAAGCCTGGAGGCTTCATTTTGAAACTGTGGGTTTGTTGTGGGAAAGCTAATTCCATCTGTCTTTCTGACTCACAGTTCTCCACTCATCTCCAGTTACGGAGACTGGGTCGTATTCACGCACTGCATGCACCTAACTGACCAGGCTGCTGTGCTCTGAACTTCAGCCCTGGGACTGTGCCCAAGGCCATCCTTCCCATCTGGCTGCTCCCAGCCAAGGACGGGTGGCGGCGTGGACGCGAAGGTAGGCAGGTTCCAGGGAGAATCGGGATCCCCATGATGGGCAATTTTGGCTGAAGCCCTCATGGATGATCTTGCTGAACTTTTCTTAGACTGCAGAGAGGCCAGGATGGGTGCTTCCCTGCCTCCTTCACCTGGGCTCGGATTTGCAGAATGCGCGGCCCTCTCCAGCTCTCACAGCTCCCGCTCTCACAGCTCCTCCTCATTTAGTTACACAGCCGTTTCCCCCAAGAAAACCCTCCGCATTTGTCCTGACTGGGTGCTGCTTCTTGGAGGATCCACCCTAACGTACGGTCTGCATCTACTTTCCCTTCCCCCAGGGCAGGGAGAGTAATTCCTGGAACTTGGCGTTCCAGGCAGCTTTCATTCCTGCGTTTCCGGAGCTCCCTCGCCCTTCCCAGCGTCCGGGCCCACTGGGCCACTCAGCCTTCTCTCATAAAAATCGCAGCTTCCGCCGGGCGCCGTGGCTCACGCCTGTAATCCCAGCACTTTGGGAGGCCGAGGCGGGCGGATCACCTGAGGTCCGGATTTCGAGACCAGCCTGACCAACATGATGAAACGCTTTCCCTACTAACAAAATTAGCCGGGCTTGGGGGCGCATGCTTGTAATCCCAGCTCCTCAGGAGGCTGAGACGGGAGAATCGCTTGAACCCGGGAGAAGGAGGTCGCTGTGAGCCAAGATCGAGCCAAATCGCGCGCGCGCGCGCGCGCGCGCGCGCGCACACACACACACACACGCGCGCAAGATCGCAGCTTCTCCATCTGGAAGGTCCCAATTCGACTGGGCCCTCGAGTCCCAACTCTATTGCCACCTCCGCTGTGAAGCCGTCTCCTCTCCGAAGGGGAAGGAGATGGGAAGTCTGTGGCCGCTGACCTCTGCCCGCCTTTCCTTGGTGGAACCCAAGGAGCGCTGTCTTTAAACTCTTTGGGGAAAGGACGGGGTCGCATGGGCGCATCGCGTCCGCGGTCGCAGGTAGAGCCCCGAGCTCACAGTGAGCGCGTGCTGGGTGTCTCTGGAGTTGTTGTTTTCATTATTTGTGTTGTTCCAAAAGCAGGCACCGAGGGACACGGTCCGGCATTAGCCGGGAGCTGGAGTCGGGGGGTTCCAGGCCAGGTGCGGGGCGGGGCTGGGGCGTGTCCGGGGCGTGTCCGGGGGCGGGACGGGAGGTGCGGTCGCAGCTCGGGCCTCGCCGGCTCTGCGCGCGGGACTGGGGCAGCCGTAACAGTGGCCGCGGTCGCCGCAGGCGCACAGCGCGCGCCCGAGTGGAGAACAAAGTGACCCCCAAAACTTCTCCAACTCCGCCCGGCGTCCCCGCGAGGGCCACGCGCCGAGGGGCGCGGAGTGCGGCGTGCGACCGGCTCCACAGAGCCAGGCGCGCGACCCGAGGTAAGGGGCGCCCGGGCGAGGGCGCAGGAGGGCGAGGGAGGCGCGGGGCGGCAGCGGCTCCGGGTGCCCTGTGGGCGGGGTGGCGCGCGGCCGGCGGTCCCCTCCCTTCCACTTTGTTGGCCGCCCCTCTCTGCCCCCGCTTTCCTCAGAGTCCCGCAGAAGGTCGCAGCTGTGGAGCGCGGCCTGGCACCTTCTCCCCGGAGGGCGGCAGCGTCCGGGTGCAGCCTGGCACGGGGGACGAAGCACTTTCCAGAAGCTCAGAAACGAGGTCCTTGGTCCCCTCTCGCTGCGTGACACGCGGGGCCCACTTTCAGCCCCGGTCCCATCCCGGATGGGAGGAGGCGGCGTCCCTGCCTCCAGATACCGAGGTCCTTGCCCAAAGCGGTGCCGTGTATGCTCGGAGTGGAGCACCCGCTGCGCCCACGCCCGCCTGGCGACCTCGGAAACTCAGGAAGGGGCTGCGGCGGAGCAGGATCCCAGGCGGTCGGCTCTGCGAGTGTAGACCGTGCGGTCCCTGCTCAGCCCCTCCTGCTTTTCCGAGCACGGGAGCCATCCCAGACAGGCGCCGCTCCTAGGGGGGCTGAAGTGCCAGGTTTCTGTGAAAGCCGACACGTTGTACCCCTAATGTATCCTATCTACCAAAAGCAGTCGAGAAAGAAGAGTCCATTCTTTCAACCATTGGTTGCCGACAGCCGCTGGAAAGGTCTGGGAGTAAGATTGCACGAGGTGTTTTTATCTTTAAGGAGCGGTGAAACTTAGTATTGATGAGCTCCCATGCCTCTTTTTTTTTTTTTTTTTTTTTGAAAATAGGTTAACTTTATTTAAAGGAGGGAAGGCTGCTTGATCCCTAAGATAATTTCATTCAAGGGGTGGTTTTCCTGCTTTTCTCTGCAGGATTCAGGCAAGAAGCCACTTGGTGACCCTCAGCTTTCTTGGGTGGTGGTAAGACCTTTATTTACAAAGCAGCCAAGGGCCTGGCATTCTCTTCTCGTGGTAATTCACACATTCTACCTCTTGCTCCCCAAATGATGCTGACAACCTTAACAGACAACACTGACTACTCCAGTTCTCTTCCCAATCGATTTAAGCCAGAGTGTCTCTAAAATCCTACCAACTTTTGTACAGGTGCAGATCATATGCTGTAAGTGTTTCAGTTCTGGGCTCTGGATAAAACAGTGTCCATGGCTGGTTTTACAATTTGGGCATAACTGGTAGAACTGATGTGTATATACTCTTAGGAGTATTTCCTGATGTTCTTTAAGATTATGTTTTTAAAATGTAGGATCATGATTGGTGCACTTCTGCAAGCAAACTTTTGTTCCACTGGATTCTACCCACTCACTTTATAGGAAAATAAAACTTGTTGCTTCAGGGTGTCAGAGATTTTTGGTAAATGTAAAAGAACATGGCAAGGTATAACTGAAGAAGAGTTTGTTATTTACAGTGGCAAAACACGCCCCTAATGATCTCAGAATCAGCTTTCAACACCTTGACATACCATGCTAAGATGCTTCGCAATGTGGCACCTTGCCTGCCTTTCCAGTTCCATCTACTGACTTTCCCCAGGCCTCCCGACTCTCCCCCGCTTTCACACTGCCTGCTCTAGACACATCAAACTACTCACAAGTTGTCATTTCCAGACCACTGTTTGGAATGAATGAAATTCTGCTCACACTGTTCTTAGGCCTCTTGTCCATCTGTCAATTACCCACACATTCTTAATGTGTCAGTCAAATACCTTCTCTGGGAAGCCTTTCTTCCCCCTTATCCCTAGGCAAAGTTAAGCTCCTCCAGTAGTCAGTGCTTCCACTAGAACACATTTTTGTATATACATCTGGCAGTGCTACCTTGCACAGTTGTTAAGGCTGTTCACTGCATAAGGTCATCTCGTCCAGCAGGCAAGTGGAGGCTGAAATGCAATTCACGTTCCACTTCCCAAGCCTCTGGTGCACTCTTCTCCACTGGAGGAGGATGTATTTGGTAATTTAAGCAAAAGTACAGTGTGGGTTAGTAGTGACCCTGACTAAGCCTGTCCCTACTAGTATACTTAGCATCCATCACTTCAACTGATGTAATAGGAGCTCAGTTAAGGTTCCGTGAATGAGTGAAGAAAGAAAGGATTCTTTCTTTCCCCTTTTTTTTTTTTTTGAGACAGGGTCTCCCTTTGTCACCCAGGCTAGAGTGTGGTGACATGGTCTCGGCTCACAGCAGCCTCAGCCTCCCCAGCTCAAATGATCTTCTCTTCTCAGCCTCCCAAGTAGCTGGGACTACAGACGCCTGCTACCACATCTGGCTAATTAAAAAAAAATTTTTTTTGTAGAGATGGGGTTTTGCCATGTTGCTCAGGCTGGTCTCAAACACCTGAGCTCAAGTGATCCACCCTCCTTGGCTTCCAAAAGGCTGATATTGTAGGTATGAGCCACCACATCCAGCTAGAAAGGATTACTTCAAATGAAGTCTAGAAAGAAGTAAGAGTTTGGGGCCGGATGTTTTTGTGTAAGTCAGTATACAGAAATATGCTTCAGTTTCTCTATCTTATGTCTGGGCTGTTTCGGTGATGCCTAGGCAGATGTCTTCTTGATTATAGGGAAGAATCTGTAAGTGTGAATTCATGGGTGGGCATCAGGGATTTGTGTCAACAAGCGGTGGACCTCCTCAGCTGATGACTTTTCAGGGCATTAAGGTTTACATGTCTAATCGTGAGTTGCTGTGAGAAGTAAGGGTGCAAGAAACTTGAAAGTAAGGCCCTAAAGAGGTTTGCTCACATAAACATGTGCTAATAAATTGCATTAAAGTGCCATTTTGTATATAAGAATTTAAGTCATCCTAAGGTGAGATGTCACAGATTAAGAAAGTAAGAAGGGCTTGAGTCTGATTTATTTAGGATTTCCAATAAGATCAGTATTTAATATCGCAGTTTATGCATGAAAAATGCAGTTTTCATTAAGGGGGGCAATTTGCAAGCTGAATTGGCTGCAAGAGTTGTAAAAATGCTCCAAATTTGGTTTGTAGTTAAAAATTAACAATTTGTGGGGCAATCTGGTGGTATTTTTCAAGCTACAGTAAGTATGTGAATTATCACACAAACATTTATAAGATTGTGATATAAAATTATATACTGGTAGTGTCAAAAGTGTTTGCTAGTTATATGGAATATTGGCATCTCTAGAATTCAAAGCACTGGGATAACTTTAAGGATAATATGGACCAATTCTCCCGTTTTATGGGTAAGGAAACTGAGTCCCAGGAACTTGTCCAGGGTCACTGAACTTGTCTAGAGACATAGCCAGAATGAACTTTCAGAGTTCCTGGCTTCTGCTTCATTGCTGTTTAGTCAAGTACCTGTAAGAACAGCCGTTTACGTGTTCCATCACTGGCTTCACTTGGAAAATCTTGAAGTTATAGGCTAAATTTTTAGATCTCAGGGAAAGAAAAGATTTTCAGTGCCAAACACAATGCCCTGGATAAACTAGGCATGTGATAAATATTTGCTGAATGGAGGAATGAATGAACAAACCAGGTGATAGCTTTCTTATTTAAAGTAATTGATAAGAAATGACCCAAAGTCCATTTGGAGTGGAGTTTGGCCCTTGTGTTTGTATTTCTTAAATGCTATAAAAAGTATTGGTTAAACTTTATGGAAAAGATGGGCATCCATATTATATGTTCAAAGACATTTGATATGCTATAGTAAAAATAATTTTTTTTTGAGACCGTCTCGCTCTGTCACCCAGGCTACAGTGCCGTGGCAATCTCAGCTCACTGCAACCTTGTTGCCTGGGTTCAAGTGATTCTTTTGTCTCAGATTCCCAAATAGATGGGGTTACAGGTGCCCGCCACCACGCCCTGCTAATCTTTGTATTTTTAATAGAGATGGGGTTTTGCCATGTTGGCCAGGCTGGTCTCGCACTCCTGACCTCAGGTGATCCACCCGCCTTGGCCTCCCAAAGTGCTAGGATTACAGGCATGAGCCACCGTGCCCCACCAGGAAAAATAATTTTTATTTCTTTATTATTTTCTATAGTAGAAGCTAGAACTCCTGACAGAAAGGCATAAAGGAAAAACTCAGGATTTGGAATCAGTAGATTTATCTGAAAATTAGCTTTGTTTCTACAGACTGTAAACGTCACCAGCCTCAGTTTCTTGTAACTTCTTTTTTTTGAGACAGAGTCTTGCTCTGTAGCCCAGGCTGGGCATGATCTTGGCTCACTGCAACCTCCACCTCCAGGGTCCCGGTCCCGGTTCAAGCAATTCTCCTGATTCAGCCTCCCAAGTAGCTGGGATTACAAGCATGCTCCACCATGCCCAGCTAATTTTTGTATTTTTAGTAAAGGTGAGTTTCATCATGTTTGCCAGGCTGATCTTGAACTCCTGACCTCGTGATCTACCTGCCTCGGCCTCCTAAAGTGCTGGGATTATAGGTGTAAGCCACTTCGCCTGGCCTCTTGTAACTTCTTAAATCTCAGAGTTGTTACAAGGATCAGATGAGCTCAAGTGCATGAAAGCACTTTGCAAACTTTGGAACAATGAGCAGTAAGAGGAGTCAGAAGCTATGGCAGTAACTACTTGGCCTGTGCTGGGCCATCTGTATACATCGTCTCATTTATTCCTCTAAATTTAAAAAAAAGCAAGACTTTTGTGGAATAAGGAAGAAATTTATGCTTAACTCCCTCAACGTTAAACATGTATTGAGTGAACTCCCTACAATATGTTAAGAACTGGTAAGCTGGTCTGCATGCGGTGACTCACGCCTGCAATCCCAGCACTTTGAGAGGCTGAGGCGAGTGGATTATCTGAGGTTGGGAGTTCAAGACCAGCCTGACCAACATGGAGAAACCCCCATCTCTACTAAAAACACAACAATTAGCCAGGTGTGGTGGTGCATGCCTGCAATTCCAGCTACTCGAGAGGCTGAGGCAGGAGAATCACTTGAACCCGGGAGGCGAAGGTTGTGTCATTGTGCCACTGCACTCCAGCCTGGGCAATAGAGTGAAACTCTGTCTCAAAAAAATAAATAAATAAATAAATAAAAAAGAACTGTTAAACTCTGAACACTCTGAACATGATAGTAAGAGAACTTCAAGTAGAGAACTGTAAGTGACGTTAAGTGACACAAAAGCAAATTCCTTAAGTTTTAGGTGAAGGAGTGATAGGTAGATTTGCATTTGAAACCAGTTCTGTTCAGGCACCATGGCTTATGCCTGTAATCCCAGTACTTTGGGAGGCCAAGGCTGGTGGATCACTTGAGGTCAGGAGTTCAAGATCAGCCTGCCAAAATGGTGAAACCCCATCTCTACTAAAAATACAAAAATTAGCCAGGCGGTACATGTCTGTAGTCCCAGCTACTCAGGAGGCTGGGGCACGAGAATTGTTTGAATCTGAGAGGTGGAGGCTGCAGTGAATCAGGATCGCACCACTGCGCTCTAGCCTGGGCAACAGAACGAGACTTCCTCTCAAACAAACAAAAAGAAACCAGTTTCTTTTTAGATTGTTGTGCGTAGGTTTAGGGGAGCAAGACTGGCAGGAAGAAGGTCAGCGGCAACAGTGTAGATCATTAAAGGAGGTGGCAGTAGAACAGTGGGGACAGACATGGAAGAAGATTCCAGAAATATAAAGGAAGTGGGACGGACCTGGTGACTGAGAAAGTGGAGGGCAGGGAGAGTCACATCCAGTAAACGATGACACCCAGGCTGCTCACCCATATGACAACCCAGAGGGAGAATGTTGGAGACCTGTAGGATCCCTTACCCAAGTTCAGTCGTTTGAAATTGCACAGCTGAGATTTGAGTCCCGATCACCTGAAGTCAGGAGTTTGAGACCAGCCTGACGAACATGGTGAAACCCCACTGAGATCAATTTGATTTCACCATGTTGGCCAAGCTGGTCCACATGGGTCACATGGGATCCAAGTGACCCATGTAAGCCTTCCACCCTGTATCCTGACCCAACGGTTAGCATGCCCTTAATTGTAAACAAATAAAGGATCTTAATAAGAATCATCTAGCATTTGAAAGCTTTTATTTTTATGAAATCTTTTTTCATAATATTATGGGAAAAAAAGGGCCCACAGATGATTACTGCCAGCAGACATAGGCTGGTGCCCTGAGAAGAGTCCCTGCCAGAAAGGTATAATGTATTTCCTCTCTTGGATGTTATATGGCCGGGGCTTTGGCCCACTCCGCTCCAGGCATTCCATCTAGCTGGAAATTGGTCTGCTTTGTTTTCATTTATGAGGTTTGTAGATTGAGTAACCGAATCTGGACTGCAGCATTCATTGTGTTTTCGTGGTGTTGGATTACAAGCTTTCTTTTAAATTCATGGTTAGGTTTCTGAATGCGCCTTTTGGACGTGGTTCATCATGAGTTCCCATTACTAAGTGATTTCTTTGCATAGGGAACAGTATGTAAAACTTGAATTTTGAAGCTCTTTTTGTTAGTAGTTTGGGAAATGGTACAATGAATAAGCTTGCAAGTCTTTTCTTATACTGGTGAAAGTTAAGGATTCTCATTACCTGTCAAATATAGTGATGAATTTTAGTGCAATATTTTTTGTTATTTTAAAATTCGAAAAATTGTATTGTTGTTGTCTAGTAAAGAGCATTCTGTGCCTTAAGATTTTCATTTCTAAAAGGAGGATGACAGCAGTGCCTTCTTAGAATATTCTTTTGAGAATTGAGAAATTAATAAATAGAACATAGCTGGGGGTGGTAGCTCACGTCCATAATCTCAGCACTTTGGTAAGCTGAGGCGGGATGATACTTGAGGCCAGGTGTTTGAGACCAGCCTGAGCAACACAGTAAGACCCTGTCTCTACAAAAAAAAAAAAATACAAAAATTAGCTGGGCATGGTGATATATGCCTGTAGTCCCAGCTCCTCAGGAGGCTGAGGTGGGAGGATTGTTTGAACCCAGGAGGTCGAGGCTGTAGTAAGTCAAGATCATGCAGCTGCACTTCAGCCTGGGTGACAGAGCAAGACCTCATCTCAAAATAAAATAAAATTAGCATAATGTGCTTAGAACCTGGCCTGACACAATGAGAAAGTTCACTGAGTGTTTTCTGTTTCTTTCTGTCATTTTTTCCCTTGCTTTATTTCCTGTCTGGTTAACCCCCAGGCATCTATAGAGACCCAGAGAAGCTGTCCCTCTGAGTTGCTCCTTAGGCACTTGCCTGGTCTATGTCAGCCCTCACATTCGTCATATACTATTTAATTTTTGGTGACTTCTCCATTATGCAGGGAGTCCTTTGATAGCTTTATTTATTTATTTATTTATTTGATGAAGTTTTGTTCTGACACCCAGGCTGGAGTGCAGTGGTGTGATCTTGACTCACTGCAACCTCCACCTCCGGGTTCAAGTGATTCTCCTGCCTCAGCCTCCTAAGTAGCTGGGATTACAGGCACCTGCCACTACAACCGGCTAATTTTTGTATTTTTTTTTTTTTAATAGAGACGAGGTTTCTATTGTTGGCCAGGCTGGTCTCGAACTCCTGACCTCAGGTGATCTGTCCTCCTTGGCCTCCCAAAGCGTTGGGATTATAGGTATCAGCCAGTGCACCTGGCCATGCTTGTTTTGTTTTTGTACTGCTTTTAAATCCAGGCTGGTGCTTTAGTGAACACTTTTATTTCTTTTGAGACAGGGTCTCGCTCTGTCGCCCAGGCTGGAGTACAGTGGCGTGATCACAGCTCACTGTAACCTATGACTCTCCCAGGTTAAAGCAATTCTCCTGCCTCAGCATCCCGAGTAGCTGGGAGTACAGGTGGGTTTCATCATGCCTGGCTAATTTTTTTGTGTTTTTAGTAGACACGGGGTTTTGCTGTCTTAGCCAGGATGGTCTCGATCTGCTGATCTCATGATCTGCCCACCTTGGCCTACCAAAGTGCTGGGATTACAGGCGTGAGCCACTGTGCCCAGCCCTGTGAATACTCTTAAATGATGGTTGACAGAATGTGTGAAGTGTTTACTGAAATTGTTTTAAAAGTATTATGATTGTGAGATTGAGAGAACCTTTGCCAAATATTTGACTGTCTAAATGGACTTTATCAGTACTAAAGTGCTAAAAGTTAAAATACATAAAGGTTGATCCATATTTTTGCCCCATGTGTGGAGTTGTAGCAAGGTTGTTGTACTGGATATTTATAGCTCTAGATTCTGGTGTGGAAGACACCTTTTACCCATTTGGCAAGTCACCTAGACATTTGAGGGACTTAGTTTCCTCAGGCAAAGAATAAAATTGTTCTCTGATGATTCTCAGTGTCTTCTGGCAATGGAGCCACTAAATCCTTCGTCTGAACCTTCTTCTTCAGGCCTTGTGCTAAGGTTATGATTGGCAAAATAATAGTCGTACTTCTCACCACTCTGTAGAGCTGTGAAGCTGATTTGAAATGAGGTCTCTCAAAAGCACATGGTGCCTATGAGCAGAAATAAAGGAAGAACCCATCTGGAATACATCAAAACGAATTAAGTTACCTTTTGCGTTGGTGGCATTTGAAACTTCTGGGATCAATACCTACTGCATGAATACATGAAGCCTGGAGGAATCAGAAACCAAAATATTTTCCCATTTCACTTGTCCATTTTGAATTTTCCCTCTGGAAAATCATTCTGTGAAACTGGGTTAGCCTTGGTGACCCTCCCTTGACAGCCATCTGCTGAACCGCTCGTTGGGAAGCGCACCATGTGTCATGTGGGCAAATGCCTTCAGGTTACACAGATTTGAAAGAAAATCAGAAACCTCACTGATTGGATCCATTCGTTGTGGATACACTCGTGCCCTCCCAGCAGGTTCCACTTGCTTGCATCTTCTTCTGTGTTAGAATTTTGTTGTTGTGTTAGGTTGTTGTATACATCGAAAGTAATTGCAAAAACCACCATCACTTTTGCACCAACTTAATAACTAGAGAGTACTGGCTTCCTCAGCCTTCCAGTCTCATCTCAAGTGTTCCTTCTAAAGCTTTTCCTGCTCATTTTCTGACCCTTCATTTTCTCTTGAAAAGTCATCACTCTGTCCTCACCACCGTCAGGGTCCATCCTCCACATGGCCACCTTCTGTGTATGGTGGTTACAACCTTGTGAGTACAGTGGGTGTATGTGTCTCTGTGTCCTTCTCTCTCTCCCCATTGGGTTCCTTATTAATGATATACAAATGATTGTCATGGCCAGGCGCAGTGGCTCATGCCTATAATCCCAGCACTTTGGGAGGCCAAGGTGGGCGGATCATTTGAGGTCAGGAGTTCGAGACCAGCCTGGCTAATATGGTGAAACCCCGTCTATACTAAAAGTACAAAAATTAGCTGGGTGTGTTGGCGGGTGTCTGTAATCCCAGCTACTCGGGTGGCTAAGGCAGGAGAATCACTTGAACCTGGGAGGTGGAGGTTGCAGTAAGCCAAGATTGTACCCCTGCACTTCAGCCTGGGGGAGAGAGCAGGACTCCCCTCTTCCCCCCAAAAAAGTGCTTTCTGTTGAGTCTGTTATGTGAGGTGTTTTGGGACTCACATGGCTTTTATCACTTTGCTTTTCTCCATTTTGATGGGTGACAGAAGATGAGCTATTTGAGAGAACTTATATGTGTTTCATTGAATTGTTCTTGGTGTTTGTCCAGTTAGAGGTAACTGTTCAGTTCCAGGTAGTCAGCATATCGTACTGAAAAAAAGACTGGATCCCTGGATTTGGGGCAGTTTTGCCAAAAATTGCTGCGTGATCTTGAACAAAGCAGTATATTCTCTCTAGGTTACCATTTCTTTATTTTTAACTTTGGACTAAATGAATTTTGGGGGTCCTTTCAACTATAAAACTCAATGTTTCTATGCAGCTACACAGTATAAGAAAAGAAAAAAAAAAACATTTTATAAAAGTTTAAAAGTAGGGCTGCAAGATGGCCACACTTGGTGTTGGAATCCAACCTTGTGACCAGAGTGATGGGGAGCAGGAACAGGACTGGGAGTCTCTGGCACCCAAGAGGCCCTGACCCAGGGCAGGAAACAGGTTTAAAGACCTAGGCTCATTCTGGTGCTGGAAGAGGCCAGTCTGGAGGCTGTCCAGGTAGGGAAGGCATAAGAGCTGCTCAGCTGTGACAGGCACAAGTCTCCGTTGTTGAAGAATGGATGGGACCCTGGGGAGGTGTGCTCAGACCAGCCCACCAGAGTTCCCTGGTGCCGATGGATAGTCCTTGGATAGTCTGCTGAACCGAGCCGGTGTGCTGCAGCTTTACATCCACACGCAGAAGAAAGTTCTGATTGAAGCCCCACACCTGAATTCCCAGAACCTTTGACCACTTTTGCGGCCTCATGGTTTGGCTTTTACACTAGCTCAGTGTTGGAGTAGCTGACGGCTCCCAGAAGCTCTTGAAGGTAATTAAGAATCAGTGTCAGATCACTTTGGTTGGAAAGTGAATTATTATTGTTGGAAATAAAATATTATTTTATTTTTATTTTATATTATGTTGTTTTATTTTTTTGATGGAGTCTCTTTCTGTCACCCAGGCCGGAGTGCAGTGGCACGATCTCAGCTCACTGCAGCCTCTCCCTCCCAGGTTCAAGCCATTCCACCGCCTCAGCCTCCCCAGTAGCTGAGATTACAGGCACACACCACCATGCCTGACTAATTTTTTATTTTTGGTAGAGACAGGATTTCACCATGTTGACCAGGCTGGTCTCAAACTTCTTACATCAGCTGATCCACCCGCCTTGGCCTCTACAAATTCTGGGATTACAGACATGAGCCACTGTGCCTGGCCTTAATTTGTATTTTTAGTAGAGATGGGGTTTCACGATGTTGGTCAGGCTGGTTTCAGACTCCTCACCTCAGATGATCTGCCTGCCTTGGCCTCCCAAATTGTTGGGATTACAGGCATAAGCCACTGTGCCTGGCCTGGATTCTTAATTACCTTCTCTTTCATACATCCAGTTGGATGTATGAAGATTGGCACTTCTTTTTTTTTTCTTGAGACGGAGTCTTGCTCTGTGGCCCAGGCTGGAGTTGCCTCCTGATTAGCTGGGATTACAGGAGCTCACCACCTTGCTCAGCTAATTTTTGTATTTTTAGTAGAGACGGGTTTCACCATGTTGGTCACGCTGGTCTTGAACTCCGGACCTCAAGTGATCTACCGGCCTTGGCCTCCCAAAGTGCTGGGATTATAGGCATGAGCCACCCACCATGCCTGGCTGAAAATTGGCACTTTTTTTTTCCATCCCAGTGGCCAGCGATATTCGAGAGCTGGTACCCAGCAGTGATACTATTGTTTTTGAGGTGGGGGCATTTTCCCGCAACAGTGCCAGTGTAGAATATACAGAGAAGATGGTGGCCATCAGCTGGCATCCCCTTTCTGCTGCCTTCGCCTGTGTAGAACTTACCGCCCTGAGATGACCTTCCTGCCCTGAGACTGCGGAGTCTGGGAAGCCAGGGCTCCACATACGCTCTTTGTTTATCCCATGAATACTCTTCTTGTGCATCTGGTTGTTTTGGGGGTTCCTAAACTTAGCGGTATCTAATGGTGTAAACTGTTCCCCTTGGACCTTGGGGACAGATGTGAGGTTACAGAGTTAGCAGTTTGGTTCCAGGCTTGGAAGACAGGCTTTAGCTTCACATTTCCAGCTTCCTGCGCTCTGTAAAAGAGAAACCTGATTATTTCAGCCATAGCAAGTCTGGAGAAGGACTGTGAAAGAAAGCAGTCAGGAATGCTCGTGGTGAAAAACCGAACACACAGAAATGATTGTATCTGATGCAGTCCAGGGCAGAAAGAGTGGAGGAGCAGGGCCTTGTACCCCTCCCTGCCCACCATAGTGGTGGCGGTGGTAGCAGCACATACATAGTCATAGTAAATTGGCAGAGGAAAAACACAACTGATTCCTGGCCAGAGGGCGAGAGATAAGGCAGTGTGCATGGGGGAGCCGAGAGGCGAGATGTGGCCCTCTGCTCCTTCCGAGTTTCCCCTTTGGCCCCAGTGAGACTTGGCCAGCAGCAGAGGCACAGCTGGGAGTGCCATGTCTTAGCTGTGAGGCTGTGAATAGGGGGATAAGTAATTTATTTATTTATTTATTTCCTTCCTTCCTTCTTTCCTTCTTTCCTTCTTTCCTTCTTTCCTTCTTTCCTTCTTTCCTTCTTTCCTTCTTTCCTTCTTTCCTTCTTCCTTCTTCCTTCTTCCTTCTTCCTTCTTCCTTCTTCCTTCTTCTTTCTTTCTTTCTTTCTTTCTTTCTTTCTTTCTTTCTTTCTTCTTTTTTTTTTTGAGACAGAGTCTCACTTTGTCCCTCAGGCTGGAGTATAGTGGCTCGATCTCAGCTCACTGCAACCTCTGCCTCCTGGGTTCAAGTGACTCTCGTGCCTCAGCCTCTCGAGTAGCTGGGATTACAGGCACCCACCACCACGCCTAGCTAATTTTTGTATTTTTAGTAGAGACGGGGTTTCGCCCTGTTGGCCAGGCTGATCTTGAACTCCTGACCTCAGGAGATCCGCCTGCCTCGAGCTCCCGAAGTGCTGGAATTACAAGTGTGAGCTGGACAGGTGCGCTGATGGATGCCAGTAATCCCCGCACCTTGGGAGGCCAAGGTGGGTGGAATACCTGAGGTCAGCAGTTTCAGACTGGTCTGACCAACATGGTGAAACCACGTCTCTACTAAATACAAAAAATTAGCTGGGCGTGGTGGCGCATGCCTGTAATCTCAGCTACTCTGGAGGCTGAGGCAGGAGAATTGCTTGAACCTGGGAGGTGGATGTTGCAGTGAGCTGAGATCGCGTCATTGCACTCCAGCCTGGGCAACAAGAGTGAAACTCCGACCAAAAAAACAAGCAAGCATAAGCCACTGCACCCGGTTGTGATAAGTAATTTCTGCACCAGCCCTGCTGAAGGCTACCTACAAGACAAGACATTTGATTGGAAGGCTGGTCAGTCACTCCTCGTTCCTGGTCTGTAGTCCTTCCAGCTTCTTCCCAGCGTGCCTCAGTAAGTCAGAGTCATCAGTGCCCATACTATGTATGTAGTAGCCAGGCTCATACTTGGAGTTCTCCCCAAATTTCTAATACCATCTTTTCTTCCAAGTCTGTTGCTCTTTTGTATAACCTGGTAGTTTGAGCTTAACTGTAGGACATTTACTTACCAGGGAAATAGATGATTGCATCACCTTTAACTCCTCTTTCTTTGGTACCGTTGCTTTTTGAATATAGTAGGCCCAAAAGAAGATGTGGCTAAGAAAATAGATGAATTTATAGAGAGGAGAGAGGCGGCTGACGTAGACATGGCCTGGAGCATCCCTCACTGCCGGAGGTTGCAGTGGGTTCCTCTGAGCTTCACATGCAGGACTTCCGTTACCTTAAGCCATTTGCCCTACATGGAGAGGCAGAAGGCAGTCATGGTATAACCCACAATGAGCCAGTGGATGGTCTGTTGCACCAGAGTAGAAGGCTTGGAGGATGGTAACAGAGGTCAGGTTGCAGCGGGGCCTGGTGGCTCATGCCTATAATCCCAGCACTTTGGGAGGCCGAGGTGAGTGGATGTTCACTTCAGGAGTTCGAGACCAGCCTGGCCAATATGGTGAAACCCCATCTCTACTAAAAATATAAAAAAACTAGCCAGGTGTGGTGGCGGGCACCTGTAATCCCAGCTACTCGGGAGGATGAGGCTAGAGAATTGTTTAAACCTGGGAGGCAGAGGTTGCAGTGAGCCGAGATCGCACCATTGCATTCCAGCCTGAGCAACAGTGCGAGACTACGTCTCAAAAAAAAAAAAAAAAAAAAAAAAAAAAAAAAAAAAAAAAGAGGTCAGGTTGCTCAGGGCAAGGCTCTTTCCAATTAGCCTGGCAGCCTGGGGAAGGAGGAGTGGCTCATTGGGGACTAGTCCCTCATTTCCCCTTTCACCCCCAACCCTGGAGGACTGCCTGTCTTTCCACAATAA